GCGCCGAGCCTCGAGGCGACGGCCGCCGTGCGCAGACGCGACGGCTCCTGGAACGCGTTTGCGCGCGCCGGCGGCGCGCGCGGCGACGTCGGCGGGGAGGTGCTGCTGCGCTGCGAGGAGGACGAGGACGTCGCCGTTAGGTTCGAGGGCGTCGCCGTCAGGGGCGCCGCCAGGCACGTCTGGGGGGAGGCCGTGTGTGCCATGAGCGGGCTCGTCGACGGACGCAGGTTGCCGCTGACGAGGAACGGGCTTGTCACCGGCGTTGTCGTTGTGTGGGAGGCCGTGCACGGAAAGGTCGAGACTAGTGTCGTGGTCGAGGTGTTTCTGGACGGCGCGAGGGGGAGGGGCAAGTTGCCGTGAATCGCGCCGAGATTGTATGTATCATCGTGTTTAAAGACTGTTTTAATACTAGTATCTGCAGCAACCTGTAGCGCGATACGGTATGTGCGACGCGCGGGAAACGCGGGGTGCAGCAAGGAAGCAAGCGGCGGGGAGCGCCGAGCGCGCGCGCACCCACCCGCGCGCCCCCACCCCGCAACAAGGGCGCACTCGCATCAAGGACGAGGCGAGACGTCACGAGTGGGCGCCCGTGCCGCTGCATGCCCCGCCAGCACTCCCGCCTGCGCGGACAGACAGACCTCCATTCCACACCCGTGCTTACAGCGCCACGTCTCCATCGAATGCACTTTGTCTGCATTCGCTCTCCCCACCCCCGTCGATACTCTCTCCCCGCCCGCCGCGAGGAAGACGCCGATTTCTCTCTCTTTACAAAATTGACCCATTTGTCTCGCAAAGAGATTGACATTTTACACACCCTTGTTCATGCAGAGTTACAAAAGTCTTTTAACGTTCGTGGAAATAATGACCACGGGGTCCGTGCACAGGTCTGGCAGGTCCCGGTACGCCTACATGAGCGCCGCCAGAGGTTGCGCGGCGTCCAGCAGCAATTTAGAGCGCCACTAACGCGGGCCTCCTTCAGGGGCGCCGTCGCGAGAGCCACG